TCTATGCCTTCCTCATTTCATTCACTCTCCCTTCTAGCCTCTCTTCTCCTTTATCTCTCTACTCTTTCTTCTCTTCTCTAAGCTTCTTTCTCCGCCTCTCTCTCCTTTATCTCTCTACTCTTTCATTCTCTTATCTAAGCTTCTTTCTCCACTCTCTGGCCTCTCCCTCTCCCCAGTAAATTGGTTGAGGTGGGATCTCTTCTCCTTCTATAATCTGCCTCCTCCTTGGGCACTCTCAGTCTTTCGGCACTCTACGTATCGGTCCATGGGTCTTCCATCCAAACCCACTCCCAACCTGGCGGTAGCTGTTCTTCCCTCTTTTTTATATCTGCTATCCCTGCCTCTATCTCCATCCTCTTCTTCCATTCCATTCCCGTTTTTCCCTGAGCCCCTTCAACAATTAATTTTTTGTATTCCTCCTTCTATCTCCTCTGTCTCTGTGCCTCGCTGCTCAGTCTTTTTGAGGGATGAGACAGGCAGGGTCTGCATTTCCTTCTCTTCTGTGTGGAGGAGGGACGGCACTCAGGCAAGTGGGATACCCCTCCCGCCTCCTGTCTCACATACCTCCGCATCTGAGAGAGTCGTCCATTCCTTCTCGTTCCTTGCCCATGAACCCTGCCGGGAGAAATAATCCACATTAGAATGTTTCTTCCCCTTCCTATACTGAACCGTGAAGGCAAAGGGTTGAAGGGCTAGATACCATTGTATGAGTCTGGGGTTAGTGTCTTTCATCTGAATTAACCATTGCAATGGTGCATGGTCAGTCACCAAAGTAAAAGGTGCTCCTAGAGATAACTCAGGGTGTGCGGACCTAGGATCTAACGTTATAAAAAGATACAGTGCTGTCAGTTTTCTGAATCTCCCCTCCCTCTCTTCCTGGAACACAATGGGTGACACAATACCATCTTGCTGTGTCATGCAGGGGGCAAGGCACTGTACAGTAAAATGATGGCACATTGCAGATGGTGCTCCATCTGTCCTTAAAAGAAAGAGTGCGAAAGGAAACCTCTGCCACTCTCACAATGTTTTCTTTGACCATTTGGATATGGAGCATCAGCAGCTGGAAAGATACTTGGGAAAGATGCCAGGCTCCAAACATCTGCAAAGAGCCCACTGCCCTCTTTGGTCATTACTCCGATGTCATAACCTCAGCAGAGAAATCCTCTGTTGAGATGAAGCCTGAGAAACTCAAGACACCAAAGTTGAGGGGTTGGAGAACCTGCTTGACCCTGAAGGTCCCAGGAACCTAAACCTGCAGATCCTGGAGACTCAGGGACCAAGGAATCTGAGGCTGAGGGTGATGGGGGTTCAGGAGCTGAGTCAGAAGAGGTGGGATGACCTCTCAGCCCTCTGGACAGATGGCACAGGCAGATTGAAGGACCAACCCCTTTGACTGTATGTGAAGGAGAGGAGGCCAGTGTGCCATCCTCTACTGAGCAGAAGGCAGAAAAGAGCCTAGGTTGCATAGAAGGAATATTGGTGGAGATAGACCAGGGGAATTGAGGAATGGAAAGGGTCGTTGGAGATGTGCCTGGCTGAGAAGGGGGAAGAGTTGGACCTAACTGTCTGGGAGGAGGATATAAAAGGAGGTGGTAGTGCACGCGAATTCAGAATCGTAACAGGCGTGGAGCAGCCAGATAAAAAGGACCGGGCTGTACAGACTGAGCTAAGCTATGGGCCTGGAGAATTGCATGGATTGCTGAAGTACTTTCTGAACCTCCAACTGGGAGATGGGCTGTTGCCGGATCCTAAAGATTATCACGTGCGAGTGGAAGATTTGGAACCCATAGAATGGACAGTGGTGGTATATCCACACAATCAGTGTGGAGGGAGGGTGATTCATCCCAGTCCCTCTTTACCCCATCAACTGTGTGAGGGGGACTGGGCAAGACACCCCTGCTATGGGACAGCTTGTGCCATCAGGAGCACCCCACTGAGGCCGATGACGGATCGAGAGCGGTTTGGTCCGGCCCCTCTATAAGGAGCGACTTGAGAACACCTGAAGTCAAAGTAAGGAGTTAAAGAATTTTGCCAGAGTTGAGTTTAATGGACCCGTTCAAAAGTGTTGAGTTGAATTTGTTTAACAAGAAAAAATGTTCAAACCATAGAGCCACCTCCAACTATCTTTCCCGCGCAAACCCAGGGGCCGCCCTCAGCAGAAGCTGAACCCAATCACACTGCATTTTTGTCTTGCCATCTGAATACCTGCATGGGTATGCTGGGGAGGCTCCAGCAGCACAACAGAAAACAAGACTTCAGAAGGTTCTGCTGGAAGCAACTTGTCCGACAGCCTCTGCCTTGTTCCTGAATTCCTTGCTTTGGAAGAAGGGCTGTAAAAAATTATTTTGAATTCACCCATTTTATAAGCAGAGCAAATCCCATGATATTTGACTTGTTGCCTCAAAGAGTAATGAAGCAGGCACAGCCAGTTTTGCTGGCAAGACAGCCTTTTGCAGTTGCAAAACGCTTCCAACAGAGAGAGTAAAGGATCTTTAAATAAATGGACACAAGAGTAGAAAATATATTGGAGATCCCCCGAGATTGTGTGTACCATGATGAAGACAGGTGAGAGAATAGGAAGGAGAAAAGCAAGAAGAAAGTGGGGAGTGGGGTTGTCTATTTTTTTAGAACAAAGGGTGAAAAGATGAAAAGGTAAGTCTGAAGGGTAGAAAGGAAGGAAGAGTGGAGTAGAATTCATGCCAATGTGAAAGAAAGAGCCAAACGGGCGGTGACCACATTGGCAATTTACTCTGCCATTTGCAATGGCTTAGGCACAGATGAATTTGAGTTTAAAATCTGGCAATTACACAACATAAAGTTCAACAGGAGAAAGCCGGCTGGGAATTGTCTGTTTTTAGTGGGAATTCATATTTTATTTTTTGGTTCAGCCAGCAGGGGTAGTTTAAATACTGCATGTTCTGACTGAGCTAACATTGCTTCTGTCCACTTTCCGCCCAGTGTAATTGCCTGATCTGAAGGCAAAGGAGGACTCACTGGGACTGTTTTTCAGATTTGCTGTCAGTGCAACAATCACTGGGCCAAAGAGAGGAACTAATGTGATAGAGATGTGACCCAAGAGGCTAATTTGCATTATTTAAAATCTGGGAATTTTGGGTGTACAGTATATGTATGTGTGTGCGTTATATACTGCCACAGTGCTGTTTTGTGCCCTTCTAATGTTTGCTAGAGTGGATTGTTGTTAACTGAAAAACTGGCCTTACAACAACAAAACCTTATGTTTCTAACTGAAAAACATCCTCGTGCCCTCTAGTGATCAAACAATTTTTTTAAAATTGAAAAAAAGAGATCTAGTACGTGTGGGATGCTGTTCTGGAAAAATGTCCTTTAGGGGCCTTATGCAGCCAATGGGTTGAATGCTGGTCACCCCAACATACATAAATACAAATTAGTCCCTGGACTGTGGGTTGAAATGTGGAAAGAGGGGGACGTTGCCACATACATGTGCATTAGTTTTGAATGTCTGGAAATTTGTTCTCTTGGTGGCACTAACAAATTTACCCCCCAAAATAAAGGAGCAAACTGTTACTATTATCTATATATGATGCTAGCTTAATTGGTAGCAATGTTATTTTTAGGTACATGAATGGAAATAGCATATACATAGATACTGCTAAAAAGGCAAGTGCTGTTTTAGGATGTATTAACTGAAGTATGGTCTCCAAATCCCATGAGGTAGGAGTCCCCCTCTATTTGGCATCTGATAGGCCTCATCTAGGATTCATCTGGACACTGCACTTTAAGAAGGATGCCAATATACTGGAAAAAGTTCAGAGGAAGGCAACAAGGATCATCAGAGGACTGGAAACCAAGCCCTAGGAGGAAAGTTGACAGAGGTGCGGTTTTACCAGGTTACACAGGGTGGCGCTAGCTGTAGAGAAACTTCCCCGAGATGAATACACCAAACAACTTGTAGTGTTGCTAGAATTACGTGTATTATTTACAGCAGTTATATACATATACACAGCCTTAGTCTTGGTTTCCGGTCCTTGGTCATACACTGCAGTTCTAAAGGATTCAGTTCACAAATCACAGTCAAAGTCTATATAAGTCTGTCCAGAGTTTGTTTACCAGTTGAGCAGTCCCAAAGCCAAGTTTTCTTCTCCAATATGCAGCAACACGGAGACAGGCTTCTCTCAGGATCTCTCCAACAGCACTCTGAAGATAGCAACAAGACACAGTATTCACCATCCCACACCACCAACCAACAGATTGTGTGTGCTAGCTCTGCCAGCTTTATTCCTGGATCTACCAATCCAGAGATTCTTCTCTCAGCTGTTCTTATCAGCCCAGCTGTATTAGCTCTGATTATACATGTGTCTGCTGCTCCGATCCTGTTAAATACTTATAGAATTGCATTCAACAATTTCCTCAGGTTGCCCAAAACCTGTCAAAAGTCTGAAAGAACTGGCCATGTTTAGCCTTGAGAAAAGAAGATTGAAGAGAGAGATGATAGAACTTGTCAAATACTTAAAAAGCTTTCATACAGAGGAGGAGGAGATGTTCTTGATCATCCCAGAGTGCAGGGCAGATAATAACGGGCTCACACTAGAGGAAGTCAGATTTAGGCTGAAAAAAGAGGCTCAGATCTAGGCTGAGAAAATTGGACAACTATCTGTCAGATCTGCTTTGATTCTGCTTCCTACACTGATCAGGGGGTTGGACTCGATAGCCCCCTTCCAACTCCATTATTCTTTTAGATTAGACATCCTTCGGTCTTGAGAGACTATGGTAATGTGCTCTGAATAGAGGACTTGGAACAGTATCTAGTGTGGCTGAGAAGACCTTCAATTACTCTATAATTCTATTTATTTCACAGACTGGCAGAATATGGACAATTGCTTAGAATGAAAAGTTCTTGAAAGAGGAACCAAGACTAATTTGCAAACATGTATTATTTATTGTTATTTGCCAATAAGGAAAAAAAAAACCTCATAAATGTATCACCATCTAATCATCTAAAATGATAAATATGTGACTTTTAAATGACAGAATATGCTTTTTCAAAGAAAGCAGAAAAATGCAGACGTGCTTGTAAATGATTAATAAAATGAAAAAAACTTGCTTAATATTCAACATGTTCTTTATTCCCCTTCTCTTTTTCATTACCATTTTAGTGTTTTGTTACTTATATGCTAACACTACATAAAAACAACCAACTCTTTTTTCCATAAAACAAACAAAAACAAACAACACCCCCACAACCACTTTTTACAAATAGAAAAGTTTGTCAGAAAGTTCCAGGTTTGGCTCTCGGTGGATGCTCTGGGCAACTAAGAAGGTCAGTTTGTTTGCGTACTGGCACACAGCTGGGACTCTGATTAAGCCCTAGAAAGAAAATGGGAGGCATTCAGTTCAAAAATCCAGCTCTACCGCTTTTGGCTAAAAGATGCTTCCCAGATACTTAATAATACATGAAATAAAGTAAAGGTTCCCCTTGACATTTAGTCCAGTTGTGTCCGACTCTAAGGGGTGGTGCTCATCCCCATTTCCAAGCCGTAGAGCCAGCGTTTGTACGAAGACAGTTTCCGTAATCACATGGCCAGCACAATTAGACATGGAATGCCATTTTACCTTCCCACCGTGACGGGACCTATTTTTATCTACTCAAGATTTACATGCTTTCAAACTGCTAGGGTGGGAGGAGCTGGGACAAGCGACAGGAGCTCACTCCGTCGCATGGATTCAATCTTACGACTGCTGGTCTTCTGACCTTGCAGCACAGAGGTTTCTGCGGTTTAACCCGCAGCGCCACCATGTCATATAAGTGAAATAACAGTCCACAAATTCTCACCCATTTTTATGGTCTTCAGTTACTGCAACACATGTCTAATTCTGTTTCGTTTGGGGAGCCAAATAGTGGCAGGACTGGTTGATGTTGGCAAGTCTTGCCTGAATCTGAGTCTTTGGTCCCAAGCCCTAAGCCCTCAGTTTTTATCAAAAACAAGTTCTGCCCCCTAGGAAAAAAGGTGGAGTGGATGGGTTCTGAATCACAAGTTGGAGTCATGGGGGAAAAAACTTGAGTCAAGTCACCAGTGTGATTTAAGTCCAACTTGACAGCGAGTCCTGTGACTCAAGACTCCATCCCTGGTTAGTACTTGGATGGTAGATACCCAGCAAACACCAGGGTTCACCAGGCAGGACTGGAAAAGAATCCTGAGTGAAAACCTGGAGAACTATTGCCAGTTGGAAATGGGTTAGATTTAAAATAAACCTCCTGTTCACCTAAGCTAGTGTGGTTCCAGGTGGGCAATAGGAATGGGATTTTTGGAATTTGGTGGGAACCTCACAAGGCCAAATGACTTGGAGTCCTTAAGTAGGCAGGAGGTGAAGGCTGCCCTCCTACCTCCAATGCTGTTTCCACGTCACTTCTTCTGTTAGAAAAGTGCCCCATTGCACCATGGGAATTGCGAGGATTTCCTACAACTCACAAAGGTGCACTTGGAGAATGAGTTCTGACAGTGGTTGCCTCCATATAGGGTGTCGGGGGAGTTTTCACTTACGTTTGCTAATTGTGAAAATCCCACCCCTAGTGGGCAACAAAAACAGGAAATTTAAAGAGCACCTGAAAGACTGTTTTCTGGCACAAAGGGTCACAAGAACTGCAAGCATGAGAATAGCAGCAAGCTACTGCATAGGAAATAATAACCCAGATTTCCCCAACCTGGTGCTCTCCAGGAGCACAGAACTCCAAAGCACATCACCCCCAACATTGTAGTTATGTTTGCTCGAGTGAGAGCTGTAGTGCAACACACTTGGAGGGCAGCATGGCTGGGGACCTGCCATAGCCCTCTGCTCTTTGACATTATGTGCTACACTATGCATGGTGTGTTTGTGTGTGTGACCATTAACAACACTCGTTGTGCCTATGTCACTTACAGTCCAATTGTAGTACAGGTGGCACAGCTTATACGTAAGGCGCTGCATATGGTCTGGCTTTAAACCATTGTCATCATAGACCACATTATAATGTGTAGGGTTGACAGTACCCTGGCGTGCAATTTGGCTGATCAAGAAAAAGTCGTACCTGTCGGATAAGACTCAGAATTAAAACTGGAGAAAATTCCATATAATTCCAGTTTGTTGACTTCTCTTATAACAAGACATATGCTAATTTAGTAGACTCAATGCACTTTTGATGCACACAAAGTTTAAAACACATTTGTGTCTTCCTCTTTTTCCCCACAGGACATCAACCTTTATTTTATCCATACAGCAATTCTGTATGGTTGATGGCGGGGCGGGGGGGGAGTGCATTGAGGAAAAGGAATGTGAGGAACTTCCAGACCCTCCAATTCTCCCCAAATCCACCTGTTCTTCCACCTACACTTTTACCCAATGGAGAACTTTTTCCCTTTTAAATGTCTAGGCACATCTCCATGAATGTCAGCTATAATTCTCTAGTTCTTCACACTATAGTATGACCTGCCAGTAAGGGCATGAACAGTCTGCTCTTGCCCAGTTCACTCTTTCACTCAGGCACTGTTGCTGGTGGATGAGGGGCTTGATTTATGAATGAGAAGCCCACCACAAAAATACAACAAATGTTATGGTCTGCAAAGGACAGAAGCGACCCCCTCGCCAGACCCGTAAACTGGAAACTCTCCGAAGCAAAAGTGCACACCTACTATGTTCCTTAACATTTCTACTACGCTGCAGAGACACAAAAACCATACCAGCCTTCCTCAGGACAAAAAGGACCATCATTTCCCCAGAGGCCAGCCACATCTACGACCTCCTGGAACATGCCCTCCTACGGAAAAGAATCCACACAACCCGCAAAAACCTGGACTGCACAGATAAAGAACTACTAGGCCTACACATCACTATCAGCCAAAAAATGAGAAGTCAAGATTGGGACAAGATTGATACCCTCTCGTACAAAAAGATGGAAAAAGAAATGATGAACCACACAGCCAAACAAAAACAGAAATGCAACAAATGCCAAACAAGCCAACAGAAACCTACACTAGATATCATGCGCATCATCATCAACTTATCTGGATGCCAACTCTCCCCAGAAGAAACCTCAGTCTTACGCAAAGGAGGAAATTTTGCAATCACACCCAGCAAAATTCCTGTGTAAGACAAAACTGCCAACGTGGAATCAGCATTATATTATCTTCCAGAACAGTGGTTCTTAACGTGGGCGAGAGACACAAAAACCATACCAGCCTTCCTCAGGACAAAAAGGACCATCATTTCCCCACAGGCCAGCCACATCTACGACCGCCTGGAACGTGGCCTCCTACGGAAAAGAATCCACACAACCCGCAAAAACCTGGACTGCACAGATAAAGAACTACTAGGCCTACACATCACTATCAGCCAAAAAATGAGAAGTCAAGATTGGGACAAGATTGATACCCTCTCGTACAAAAAGATGGAAAAAGAAATGATGAACCACACAGCCAAACAAAAACAGAAATGCAACAAATGCCAAACAAGCCAACAGAAACTACATTAGACACCATGCGCATCATCATCAACTTATCGGGACGCCAACTCTCCCCAGAAGAAACCTCAGTCTTAAGCAAAGGAGGAAATTTTGCAATCACACCCAGCAAAATTCCTGTGGAAGACATAACTGCCAACGTGGAATTAGCATTATATTATCTTCCAGAAGAAAAAGCAGAGTAAATAGGAGGGGAAGTGACTAGGATCCTACAGAAAGCAAAAAACCCCAACAGCAACATAACAAGAAAGGAGAGAAATGCCATCAAGTCCCTGAACTCAGACCTGGACATCATCGTCCTGCCAGCAAACAAAGGCAACGCCACGGTAATCATGGAAACAGAAAAATACAAGGACAAAATCAGAGAACTTCTAGACCCCACCACCTACAGAAAACTGAAACGGGACCCAACCAACAAAATTACAAAACAAACAAACATGCTGATCAGGAGTTCCTTCCTGCACCCCAACGTCCTTCAACGCATCTGCAAGACAGAAGCTCTCCCACCAAGACTATACAGACTCCCCAAAATCCACAAGGACTCAATCCCACTCAGGCCCATTGTAAGTGCCATCAGCTCCCCAACATATGAATTAGCCAAACACCTAGCGACCCTCCTACAGACCCACATTGGACAAACCTCATCCTACATCAAAGACTCAGGACATTTCATAAGCAAGATCAGCACCCTAAAACTCAACCCTGGGGACAGACTGATCAGCTTTGACGTAGTATCCCTGTTCACTAAGGTACCGATAAAGGAGACCCTGACACTCATCCAGCAGATCTTTCCAGAAGATATCAAGGTCCTCTTCCAACACTGCCTAACGACCAGCTATCTCCAGTGGGATAATGAATGCTATGATCAGACAGATGGAGTGGCCATGGGCAGCCCCCTCAGCCCAGTTATAGCAAACTTCTACATGGAGCGTTCTGAAAAACTTGCCCTGGCTTCGGCACCCCTCGCACCCACAGTCTGGTTCCGATATGTGGATGATACCTTTGCAATTTGGAGTCATGGTGAAGAAAAATTGGAAGAATTTCTCAACCATCTCAACAGCATCCACCCAAATATACAATTCACCATGGAAAAAGAAATAGAGGGTCAACTCCCGTTCTTAGATGTCATGGTCCTACGCAAAACTGACCTCCGACTGGGACACAAGCTCTACAGGAAACCCACCCACACAGACCGGTACCTACACAAAAACTCCAACCACCACCCACCCCAAAAATGAGGCATAATCAAAACACTGGTAGACCGGGCAAATC